AAACTCAACTCCAAAGGGCACCTCTTTTAAGATGCTAATGTTGATAATCCTGACCTTTTTTTGTTGTTGTTGATTTCCCAGACTTTGGGGTGCAGGTTCTTTCATTTACTGTCTCTATATTATCCCCATCTTCTCCTTTTACCTTTCCAATCCTCCAGTGCTGTTTAACAAATTTTTAGAATCTCACTAGGAACACTAATTGTAATTTGACAAAGTTTAATTACATGTTCCATATTAATGCTTTCATTGAAGGTCATTTTATCTCTTTTCTCTGCTTGAGCCTATTTTCTTACACTTTCCATGTAAATGGCATTTTCTGTTGTCTGCTAATATTCATAAATGAAGGTTTAGAGTATTCAGTGTTCCTTGTTTACTGTGTTGGCTGCTGTTGTGTTCTACAGATACACACATAATTAGCCACCAACTAAATGGGCAGTTTTAAGCCCCACTGTGGAAATCTGTCCCAATTTACTGGGTGTTTTTCTACACAGACAAACACAGGGGATAATGCTATGGCCAACAACTCCACAAACAAGGCTTTCTCTGGGCCAGGTCTCATGTTTTTCAGTTTATTTCTCTGCTTTCCCAGGTGCTTCTGGGAAAAGTAGTGTTGATGCTGCTAGCCAAGTGGTCCACCATCAGCAGCGGTGTGGTGGCAGTCTCCCGCAGGTCCCTCTGGCTTTGTGGCTTTATCTTCAGTGTATGGGCTCAGGTGGAGGGCTTTCTACCCACCCACCCCCGCCCCGTCTGCCCCCAAACAGCCATTCCTTCCAGATTTTGCCTCCCCAACCCAAGGGAAATTTACATGTCTTCTTGGAGTTTCCTCCTATTTTTGCCTGACTCACTGAGCAATGTTCATAAGCTGCTAGCTCCCAGTGCCTGCTTTTGGTTGGGTATACATTTTTCTGTTTGTTATATATTATTTCTGGATAATATTCTTTTGGTTTGTGGCATGAGGTTGGTATTGTTCTTAGTTTCAGTGAAACTAAAATTTTCTCTTTTTTGGAGGGGGGGTGTAATTTCTGTGGTTTGGAGGATTGCCATCATCTTTCTGGAAGCCTGTCAATATTTGGTTTATACTTGAAGAATCACTGAGTAAGAGAGAAAAAAATCATGTGTAAAGAACAGAAAAATATTTCATGAAACTATTAATAACTATCAATACTGAGATATATGTATATAATCTCCACATATCCACTCCCAACATCTGTCCTGAGCTGCAAAATACATTTCTAACTGCTGTTAGACCCACAAACTTAGTAATATCTCTATCGACATTTAATGTAGATATTAAAATGGAACTTATAGTGAGAGCTAAGAACCCAAAGAAATAGATGCCAGTAACTGTCAGGTATTAAGTAAGCTGCAACATTGCCACTTACAAAGCAATTGGAAGAAAACAAGTTGAAGCTCTTAGCCTCTTACCCAATCACATGTAAATTAGGGTAAGTTAGTTCTTTATGAATTTTGGAAAATAACATTTTATTAGATATATCATTGCAAATATTTCTCCCATTCTGCAGGTTGCCTTTTAGTTTTATTGATTATTTCCTTCACTGTGCAGAAACTTTTTATTTTGATGAAGTCCAAATAGTTTATTTTTGCTTTTGTTTCCCTTTCTTCCAGAATCATATCTAGAAAAAAGTTGCTACAGCCCATATCAGAAAGGTTACTGCTTGTGTTCTCCTTAGGATTTTTATGGTTTCAAGTTTCACAATCAGGTCTTTAATCTATTTTGAATTTATTTTTTTGTAAGAAATGGGTCCAGTTTCATTCTTTTGCACGTTGCTGTCCAGTTTTCCCAACATCATTTGTTGAAGAGAATTTCCATTGGATATTCTTTCCTGCTTTGTTGAAGACTAATTTACTATATAGTTGTGGGTTCATTTCTGGGTTTTCTGTTTTGTTCCAATGATCTATGTGTCTATTTTTGTGCCAGTACTTTTTGATTACTACAGGTTTGTAATACAACTTGAAGTCCAGAATTGTGATGCCACCAGCTTTGCTTTGCTTTTTCAAGGTTGTTTTGGCTGTTGAGTCTTTTGTGGTTCTGTACAAATTTTAGGACTGTTTATTCTATTTCTGTGAAAAATGCTGTTGGTGTTTTGATAGGGATTGCATTAAATGTGTAGATTCCTTTGGTAGTGTAGACATTTTAACAATATTTGTTCTTACAATCCATTCCATGGGCATGGAATGGTTTTCCATTTCTTTGTGTTGTCATCAGTTTCTTTCAACAGTATTTTATAGTTTTCAGAGTACAGGTCTTTTACCTATTTAGTTAGGTTTATTCCTAGATACCTTACTGTTCTTGATGGAATTGTAAATGGGATTGATTCCTTAATTTCTCTTTCTGCTGCTTCATTATTGGTGTATAGAAAAGCAATAGATTTCTGTGCACTGGTTTTGTATCCTGTGACTTTACTGAATTTATCAGTTTTAGGAGCTTTGGGGTGGCATCTTTTGGTTTTTTTATATAGAATATCATGTCATCTGCAAATAGTGAAAATTTTACTTCTTCCTTGCCAAATTGGATGCCTTTTATTTATTTTTGTTGTCTGATTGCTGAGGCTGGAACTTCCAATACTATGTTAAATCACAGTGCTGAGAGTGGACATCCCTGTCTTGTTCCTGACCATAGAGGAAAAGTGCTCAGTTTTTCCCCTTTGAGGATGATATTAGCTGTGGGTTTTTCATATATGACCTTTATTATGTTGAGGTATGTTCCCTCTAAACCTACTTTGTTGTTTTTTTTTATCATAAATGGATGTTTTACTTTGTCAAATGCTTTTTGTTTTGTATTGCATCTATTGAAATAATCTTATGGTTCTTATCCTTTCTTTTATTAATGTGGTATATTATGTTGATTGATTTCGAATATTGAGCCACCCTTGTAACCCAGGAATACATCCCACTTGATCGTGGTGAGTGATTTAAAGAACTTATAAAACTCAACACCTGAAAAACAAATAACCCAATTAAAAAATGGGCAGAAGACATGAGTTTTTTCAAAGAAGACACAGATGGCCAACAGACCCATGAAAAGATGCTCAACGTCACTGATCATTAGGGAAATACAAATCAAAACAACAAGAAAATATCACCTCACAACTGTCAGAATGCCTAAAATCAACAACATGAGGAACAACAGGTGCTGGCAAGGATGTGGAGACGGGAACCCTCTTACACTCCTGGTGGGAATGCGGATGGTGCAGCCACTCTAGAAAGCAGCATGGAGTTTCCTCAGAAAGTTAAAAATAGAGCTACCCTATGACCCAGCAATTGCACTACTAGGTATTTACAAAAAAAAAAAAAAATCAAAGGGATACATGTACCCCATTGTTTCAGCAGCATTATCTACTATAGCCAAATTATGGAAACAGTCCAAGTGCCCATCAACTGATGAATGGATAAAGAAGATGTAGTATATATGTAGTATATATTTATTCAGCCATAAAGAAGAATGAAATCTTGCCATTTGCCACAACATGGATGGAACTAGAGGGTATTATGCTAAGCAAAATAAGTCAGAGAAAGACAAATACCATATGATTTCACTCATATGTGGAATTTAAAAAACAAAAGAAGTGAGCAAAGGGGAGAAAAAGAGGAGGCAAACCAAGAAACAGACTCTTAACTATAAAGAACAAACTGATGGTTCCCAGAGGGGAGCTGGGGTGGGGGTGGAAATGGGTGAAACAGGTGATGAGGATTAAGGAGTGCACTTGTGATGAGCCCTGGGTGATGCATGAAAGTGCTGAATCACTATATTGCACATCTGAAACTAATGTTACACTTTATGTTAACTAACTGGAATTTAAATAAAAACGTTAAAAGAATTAAGTGAAGTTGGAGATAGAAGAGGATTTTTAGAACAAGTTCTGTGTGGCAGAGGTGTGGGAGTGCTTTTGTCTCATGTCAAGCCTAGGGAAAGAGGCTTAAGAGGTACCACTCAGAATTTTCAGTTTGCATCTCTTGGAATGCTGGGGACACAGAGGACTGACATCTGCCTCATTTGTGATAAGGGGCCTTTGAGCTAGCTGCTCTATGCAGAAGTTGTCACACTGAAGGTAATCTGTCCTTCTACTATCTGTTGAGGCAAAGAATGCCTGAGTTGTTCCAGTGGCCAGATTTGGGTCACATGTGAGAGTTTTCTCTTACCTGCTTAAGTAGGCATCTGGAGTGGTACGGGTCCCAGCAGAATAAAGGCATATGAGGTGTACTGAGAAAAGAGTTGTAACCAACCAGTTCAAGAACATGTTTCCACTCAATCCAAGGGAACTGCAAAATGGGACCTTTATGAGTATTATCCCCACTGCAACCCTTCTCTCTGCTCCCCTTTCATTTCTGATCCCCTTTACTTTAAGGTGACCTGAAAAGTCATGGAGGTTGCAAAAGATTTTATTCAAATGCCTTGATGGTTTTGAAGGGGTAAGCTTCTGATTACATTGACAAACCAAGCACATCGCTGTTAAAAGCACTCGTTTTCTTTTCCTCACTTACAGCACATCCCCTCCTGTCAAAATCCTGACTATCCTTTAGATGGACTTGTTGGAACTGTTTCTTCTGTAGTATCACAGGCAATTCAAGTCCAGAGCCTATATCCAATAGCCCTCATTCCCAGCATGTAATACAGTATATAACACATATTAAGCACTTCATAAATGTTTGATGAGTGAAGGAATGAATAAATGATAGGGCTTCTTGAGCAGATGGAGGGACAAGCTGTTTATTCTAAAGTATGTGGGAATTTAAATTATATAAGTAAAATGAGTGGGTGTATGTCATTTATTGAATACCCAGTAAAGGTCCAATCAATTTTTCTTGAATGAATGAATGAATGAATGCTAACATAAATAAATGTGAAAAATGACTACATATACATAGGCAAGGTTAAAAGAGAAAACACAATTTTGTTGGTTTGTTTATTCATCTATATGTAGATATAGATATAAATAAAATGATTTGCACATTGGCTGGTTTTTTTTCTTTCTTTCCAGGTGATCCTTGTATTTGTACTAAGCATTGGGTCTCTAATAATCTATTTCATCAACTCTTCTGAGTGAGTAAAATCCCCAGTCACCCTTATCTGCTATGTCAGTAGGTTGCCAGCTAATTTGGAATTTTCTGTCAGGAATAATGCTTAACATGCTTTTAGACATACCCACACACAAACTCATAAAAAAGGATAAGTGTTCCCCACCCAAGAAGCACTACACCCAATTCCACAAAAAAATGCACGAGTTTCCCCTGTATCCTGTCATCATGAATTGCTAGGGGCTGTGGTGCTGTATACAGGTCTATTCTAGAGTCTCAGAGACTAGAAGCCTCCAGCTGTGGTCTCCAACCTTGGTCTCCACTGAGGAGGGTGTTCTATGCCTTTGGAGTCCTTACGTGTTGAAACAGAAGTTCTTTAGTTGTTTCAGAGTTTCTCATAGGTTTCAAACAACTTTGGATGGTTTTGAGAAAGGAAAATGCTAGACCTCACCTGGGATAAAGGAGCACATTATTGTCTGCTCTTCTCTAAAGCCATTCTCTTCTATGCCCAAGCTAGAACAGTTTCTTGGACACAACCTAATCTAATATGAACTCCACACTGATCAGCTAGCTAGGAATTACACTGGATTTCCAGCTGAAGTAAAATTGGGATTACAGGGCCACTGAAGTCAGACTATTTTAGAAAGACTAGGGAAACTAACAGTCTTTGTTTTGTGAACTCCTTACTGATCTTTTAGGAAATTTTCCTTAAATTTGGATCAGATCAATCCATTTGACTTAGAGTAGCTCTGTATCAGAGGGGTATAGAAGCCAAAATGTCCTGGCCGGGTAGATGGTTTTGCAAACCAAGAGGAGCCAAGTGTCTTGGACTAACCAATCATGGTGAATAAATAGAACACTGACTACTCTTTCTCTTCATTTGGTCTTGTATAGTCAGAGCTTTTAAAATGTACATCTTTATACATTGCTCTTGTTTCTTTTCCAGCCCTGTTGGAAGCTGTTCTTCATATGAAGACAAAACCATCCCTATTGATTTGACTTTCAATGTGTTCTTTAGTTTCTATTTTGGGTTGAGAGTAAGTATCTATGGAAAGAGGGAGTAAACAGATGAACACAACAGGTGCCACTCAAAGAGGTCTATGTGTGTCTTCATTGTACTATCTGCCTATGTTTTCAGGCTCTAAAACTAGAGGGTCTGTGCCCTAAATTGTCCAATGTATAAAGAGGCATGAAAACTCTCTCTTGCCCTTGAAACTGTATCTTGGCCAAAAATCCCAAGGCAAATGAAAATGATTCCTTTTTAAATATCATCACCCTGTCATGCTGTCCTCCTTATTGGCTTCCCACCTACCACCGAGAAAGCTTTGCTAATAACCACAAACTAGCAAACCTGAGTAATAGCCTCTGAAAATGTCATTGGTTCCACTGATGGCATACGTGCTGTATAACTGTATAAAATGTTTGCATATCTTTGTTTCATTTTTGTTATACTCATTTATTAAATAGTTCTCTCATTCCACAGGAATTTATTGAGGATCCATCCTAGATCTAGATTTCATTGTATTTATCCATCCCATGTTTATGGGAGAGACTGTATATGTGTGTGTGTGTGTGTGTGTATACACACATGCAAGTGTATATGTGTATGTATCTGTGTATATAGACATATATAATGTGTGTGTGTATGCTCTGTATTTTTATGACCTTCCTTCAAAACTTAACTCTGACCGCACTGACCATCAAAATCTTTTTAGAGTAACCTCCCTCTGGAAATGCTTACTTTCTTAATCTAAATAGGGAAGCTCCGACACGGGGTTTGGCCAGCCAACTTTCTAGATAGTTGTGCTTTTTCCATTGAAGGCCATCCTAAATCTTCATTGCTCACAAACAGGAGGCTTTATCTAGGCAATTATATAAATCAGAGAGTTCTAGGAGCAGAAGGAAGGTCAAAGTGTTTATTCTGAAGTGTGAGAGTTAAGATCTGTTGAGTAAAATGAGTTCATGTTCATTTATTGAACACCCACTAAATGTATGTTTCTAATAGAATGAGATTAAAGCTTCAGTGGATGAGTGAAATGTCGCTGAATAAAGCCACTCTTATGTTCATTTTAAAATTGTCGAGGGTAACAGAATTTGGAGTCTTTTGTTTCTATTTCATAGTTTGTGGCAGCCGATGACAAGATCAAGTTCTGGTTGGAGATGAATTCAATTGTAGACATCTTTACCATTCCACCAACCTTTATTTCTTATTATTTGAAGAGTAATTGGCTAGGTAAGTGTGCTGTGGGAATCAGGAGCAATTTCTAAAAAAAAAAAAAATCTTCCACATTCACTCATAAGTACCCTTCATTTTCCTTTAAAGCCTAAATGCCATTTAAAAAAATTTATCGTCATGATTATATGGTTTTGTAATATATTTTCAGAACTTATTTTTTTTAAACTCAGTACCTGGTGATATACCTGATACAGAGTAGGTGACAGTAGCTGCTTATTGTTTATGGACTGACTCATCCACAACCTGAGCGGCAAGTCCCAATCATCCCATCCCCCTGCAGCCCCTCTATGCTGGAATCCCACAGGGACTGGAAGATGAAAAACCTCCCTGGGCCTTTAAAAGCTCTAAATCATCCTTTCCAGACAGGCTGTTAAAGATTTATTTAATTATTTTGTTTTTAATGTGGATGCATGGACAGCACGTGAGCATTATGTGGCTTTTATTAGTTTTTATGGAATTTTATATTATTATCTATTACCTATCAAATATTCCTTGCGGTCCCAATTCTCAAACTATGTAAAGTAAAACATCATGCAAAAACTGAAGAGCAGATCACAGAGATTCTGCAGTCAGGAGTTTAAGTGGTTTATGAGTAATTGCCTGTTCTAAAGAGGAGTTCAATAGAGTAAAATGTTAAGTAGTGTTTATTATACATGAGCTATGCTTCCTCAGGCTTTATATTATTAGCTCAACAGCCCTATGAGGTAGGGACTTATAATTCCCATTTTGCAGATGAGGAACTACAGAAGTTAAGGGAACTGCTTTAGATTACAATAGCTGTTTAGTGTCAGGGCCAGGATTTGAACTAGAGGTCATGCTCTTAAACTTCTGGTGTGTTGTATTTGAGCATCTCTAGGAGAGGAAGAGTAGAAATAGTCCCAATGGTGTTATAACACAGAGTGCTCCCTGAAGTGACCCTCTCCTTTTGGCAGATTTCTCCTTTTGATTGCTTTGTAGGTTTACGGTTCTTAAGAGCTTTGCGGCTGCTAGAACTCCCTCAAATCCTGCAAATTCTCCGAGCCATCAGAACCAGGTAAATGCTAGCCCTGCCTTAAGTCCTGCTTACTTCCTGGTTTGGATTAGGAAATTAAAATGTAAACTGAACCTTCAACTCATTTCCCATCAGAATTTCAGTGCAAATCCTGTGAAATCCCTTAGCTCCCACGGTACCATTCACTCACTCACTCTCATTGTATTAACATCATATGCTGGCTGAGAACTTTGTCATCACTTGAAAGAGTTTGTTTCTTCTTTGTTTTGCAGAGCTATGATGTACAAGTCCATTTAGACTTTAATTCTGCCTCTCCCCTCAAAAAAATTTTAAAAGTAATTCAGAGGCTTTGGTTCTACATACTTGCTATCATGAATCACATCTCTTCTGTCTAGGAATGTAAGACCAATTTCTCTGAGCATGAGGTACCCAGTAGCAGCCGTGAAACTGCTTACAAAAACAGAGCCACCTAAATGTCTCCAAAAAAAAAAAAAAATCCAAACTATCTTGAGCAGCAATACTTCTAAAGTTTTAAGCAGTTTGGTTTAATGTTACCCACTGAAAATCTCCATGTCTCTATGTTCTCCCTAGAAGCATCAAATTTTATAGGCCATTGGATTTCACTGCTAAGTGTTCATGGTTTACAGAGCAGTCGGGACTGGGCTGTTCTTGTGTAACAGGTGGCCCTACCTGAAAACCATAGAAATTTCAGCTAAACTCTAGAGCTTTACTTAGGAAACAGGAGCTTATCTGATCCCCTTCACTCAAAGATCCTTGTATGAGTTTAGCAATATGTCATTTCTGCGATCTACTCAAAATTCCATTTTGCAAACCCATTCTCTGGATTCCTAGGATACTGCACTTTGTATAGTTACTTTAGACAATGTAGAAATCTATCAGATTTATTCTATGATGATACACATAGTTTTAAAAACAATCTAATATCAGGCTAGTGAATGTCATAGCAACTTGTAAAGATTTTGAACAAGTGTGTGTCACTGGCTATGTTAAGAGCTGGCCATCTCTGACTCTAATGTGTATATGAATCAAATAGAGGATGTAGATCTATAGATCAGGGGTGGGGTCTGGGATCCTGCATTTCTAATAATGCTCCCAGGTAAGCGTACCATTGCTTCTGGCACAGAAGAGTAGCCAGATTTTAGAGGATGGGGTATTGTGTTTTTCTGGAACCTGTCAGAACCCGACAGTTTTTTGTCTTTCTTCCTCTAGCAATGCAGTGAAGTTTTCCAAACTGTTATCAATAGTCCTCAGTACCTGGTTCACTGCTGCAGGTTTCATTCACCTGGTAAGCATCTCATCAAACTCTCTAATCTTGCTGGTCAGCATGAACATCTTTTCTTTTAAAAATTCAGCCAAACCTTCTGAACTCCTGTCTCACTGTGTGAGGTTTATCATTTTACTTCCCCTTTGTGGGTCTTCTGCACCCCCGTATTTTCACAAATACATATTTCCTGCACTCAGGATATCTATGTTCCTTCTTTCAACTTTCAAAACTTGCTCTCAGGAAAGGATCTAACAAGCTTACCCTTCAAAAGAATAAGCAATAGATGAATCTTATTGCTTTATCTTCATAGAGGTCTCAGCATTTTACAAAAAAATAAAAAGTCAAAGAAATGAAGGCAGTGAGAGATTTTAACACTGATGAAGCTGGAGAGTTGTGGGAGAGGAATTGGTGAGTAGCTAAGGGGAGCTTTGGGATTTTTTTAGTTCTCCTGAAGTCTATCTGCATATATAGCTGCCTCCTTTGCCTGTAGGAAAGGCTCATTCTTATCTCACGTAATCAGCTTTATAATAAATAGATTTCAACAATAAGGAACAAACACCTGGACTTTATTACTTGAGGACAGTTGAGAAGCAGTCATTAAAAATGCAGAAATTGAAGTAGGATCTTAAAAACAGAGGTCTTTGAGGAAAACAAAACAAAACAAAAAATACAGCAGGCATCTTTTCTCTTGAGTCCTTATTTCAAAATTAATTAAAACATTAACAATAAAAAAGAAAAAAATTTGAAGTTACCATCTTCAGCTGAAAACAAAATGTCAAACACCAAATGCAAACCATGATATGAACCTTTAAAGAAATCTAAAACCAGCCACATCCCTCCTTAGTCCTCAAGCAGGAGAGAAATTGCCCTGAGAGAAGATCAGAGCAATACAAGCAGATTCTGGATCTAGAGTATTGTACCTGGGTGCATGGGCCCACCATGGGAGCAGCAATCATCAGTGTCCTTCTGAAGATCTGTTGGTAATCACAGGATGGTAGACAAGAGAGTGCTACAGGAGAAACCATGGTAACGGGAATTTTTCATCTTCAGTAGCAGTTCTAATGAAGGGCTCTTGGGCTGAATGTGGCCCATCAACATATTTTATTTGACCTAATTAGTTTGTATTTTCTGTTCTATTTTTTTTATTGCTTGCTCACTTTTATGGTGAGCTCACATAAAATCTCAGATTTCTGGATTCTTTGGGAAAATACAAAGTTCTGGCTATCCATTCTCCCAAGGCCACCAATAGTCCTAGTGGAAGACTAGCTGCTCCCTGTTAATAGCATGTGCTCTTGAGTTAGAAACAGTTTCAACAGGCTCACTTGAATCAAAGTCTCTTGCTCAAACTTTCTAAACATGTGAACATGTGCCCTTGTTGGGCTTCTAGTCACCCAAGTGAGGAGACCTTCAATGAAGGATGCATGTAGAGAAAGATGGAGAAGTAACCAGATGGCTTGTGATGTAAGGGGATCCACTGTAAGTCACCCCAACATTTGTTGAAAACCTATAAGAGCTAGATCCCAGAGCAAAGAAAATGGCAGATTTTCTTGGGGAAGGATATTTGAAATGACAAATCAAAATGAAAGCTATAATTGTCCCAGCTCACCATCTTCACATATACTTATTGGCCTTCAGCTAAAAGTTGATATGATTAAAAGGTGAGTATTAACCAGAAAGAAATCAGGATGGTGCCCATGCTTAAATTCTGCCAAAAATAGTAAGGAGGTGTGGTAGAGAATAGACATCAGTATATAACAACAGTTCTTTAATGTAATAGAAGAATAACAATTACAAGATAATTTGTCCAAGTAAACAAAGGAAAAGTTAAGAAACAAAGCACATCCATATTTGAGAAAAAATGCAAATAAAAGGCTTTAAAAACTAAAAATACTAATTTAAACAAAATATATAAGGTTTAAAATAAAGGATTATTAATCAGCAGCAGGAGTTGGAAAAATGGACTGAATGATATCAGAAAAAAAGGAAAAAGTATTACTAGAGCTGAAAACTACATTAGAGAGAACCAAAATATAATCAATGTGACAGAAACATGCTCAGGAACATGGTGGACAAGTTTGCGGCAAAAACATTGACATGGAAAAGAACAAAGGTACTCCAAGCAATGTTGATTGAACAAACTATAAAATTAGTGTTCCTGAAGAAAAGAACACGACAAATGGCACCAGAAAAATGCTTTAAAATAAAAATATAAATAAATAAACAAAAATATAAAAAATATATATGTTTACATATAAACATATTATATATAAAAATATATAAATAAAAATAAAATCTGTGGATTAAAGGGTGCACTGTATCCCAGGGAAAATGACCCTGAATTATATATTCCAATCATATTCTGGAGCAGTTTACTGACCTTTAAGAATAAGGAGAGAATCCAAGCAGAAGAAAGCAAAGTCTATATAAGAGGGAGTCATGAAACCAGCCTCAGATTTCTTGTCAACATCAATCAGTACCAAAGGTGATAGAGTAGAGTCTGCAAAGTTGTGTGAAAGTATAGCCTATCCTGCCATTTTAAGTACTCAAGAGAAAATAGCACCCATGGGTCCCTTTTAAAAATGTATCTTGATATAAAATCCAGCCCCATAGGAGATGAATCAAAACCAGGAGCTCAGGAAAGAGGAAACCATGATATAAAGTAGAGGTGGTGATTATTGAATGAATTAGAAGTAGATTAAGATGTAACTGAGGGAATTACGGTTGCAGACTTCACACACATGTACAATATAAAGATAACATAACTTGTGCAAATGGTGGGGAGGTAAAGAGGAGATGGGAGAGCATCCTTGTGTCCTCCTCTATAGCATTTATTATTCAAACAACGTGAAGTTTTAAAACATAGCATTTCAGTTTTGAAAGATGGAGTTAAAAATAGAAAATAATTCAGTATCTTGACATTGGTCCATAGTCCTTTACCTTAACTTAGTTTATTTCCCATCTGGGACTGATGGGTCTATGCTCACATGGTTAGAAGGAAGAGCAGAGTGGACAAGTAGGCCAGCAGGAGGCTGCCAAATCTGGGAGAGGTGCTGGGAGAGAAAGAGGGGAGGAGGATGAAACACTAAATACTCCCAAAGAGAGTGAGCTAAACCTTAAAGCATGATTTAACTTGTGAAGGAGAATTCCAGGTTGAAATAAATTTAGTTTTTGTTTATATAAAATGTGCCAGGATAGGATTGAATCCCTGTCCTGAGATGACGCTATAAAAGACACTGTGGGGTTTTAGCTTGAAACTATCTCAAGCAACTCTTTTGATCCTGGGGAGATGTATATGACTCAAATACGTATATATGACTTAATCTGTGTGGTTTAAACTGGTTTTCTTATAATATACTAGTCTCAGAGAACAGTGAAGACTACAGAAGTTAGTGGAAGCAGGTTAGTAGACTTTGCAACAAAATCCACTGCCAGCCACGGGAGTTAAATATAGATGTATGATCCCTTTCTTATTTTGGTGTAGGTATTATAGGAGTCCATACCCTTAACCTACCCATCAAACTTAGGAAAAGGTCACTTTTAGGGGTGCCTGCATGGCTAAGTCAATTAAGCATCTCACTTCAGCTCAGGTCATGATCTCAGGGTCCTGGGATCATAAACCCCACGTTGGGCTCCCCACTGCCCCTCCCCCATTCCGGCTCTCTCTCTTTCTTTCTCTCAAATAAATAAATAAAATCTTAAAAAAAAACTTAAGAAAAGGTCACTTTTAAAAAGTGATCAAATACCTGAATGAACAATGTTATTTCTAATTTCTGTTTCAGTTCTTAACACTGAAACAAAAAACCTACTTTCCTCAGGCATCTCTAACACTTTATCATTTTTGTGCTAAACAGAAATGGAAAACATAGGAAATATGTAGCTATTTGGAAAAAAAAGTCTAAAACTGGAAAAAGGAAAGTTGTATACATTACATAGTTATTATGTATGATATATATCATATTTATGTTTATGTATATACTATAAATATGAAGTATAGTGTCATTACCTAAGTTACTCATTTTATTTAATATAAAAAAGATAATCTAATAAATTTAGTTTTCTTAAAATGTGAAGACTTAGGGAGAAATCAGAGGAAATATTCTTCAGAGTTTTTTTTAATCACTGGAAAGATTTTTTTTTTGGAGGTGGAAAATAACCTGGAAAAATTTTTTGTTTGCTTTTCCTTAGACACTAGCCTTCATGTGCTTAAGCTCATTGAAATGAAGTGCTCATGTAAGTGCTTCTTCTTTTTTTTTTAAGTGCTTCTTTTTTAATGATAATCCTGAGCTAGTGGAAAATGATAATAAATAATAATTGCTCGATCTGAGAGCCTTTGGAGTCTCATGACTCTTGCATGTTATGATTTGCCCAAATGAAGAGAAAGGGATATGGGCAGCCAATCCCCTAGTGGAGCACTGAAAATGTGGGCTCAAGCTACATGTCACCACAGAGTTCAGCAGTAATCACAATGAAGGAACACAAGACTTCACAATCACTACCCACACTTTGCAAACCCTTTAGTGCAACCTGGGAATCACTTAATACTTCATTTGGATTGAATTAAGTGAAACTAGTCCAGTGTTTCGCCTATTCTTTATAAACTTGCCCTTGGATTCCATTCAGAGAACTTTCCTGAATCTTCTCTCTTTGGACAGGTGGAAAATTCTGGTGATCCCTGGCTCAAAGGTAGAAATTCACAGAATATATCATATTTTGAGTCTATTTACCTGGTCATGGCAACAACGTCAACTGTTGGCTTTGGAGATGTGGTAGCCAAGACATCCCTAGGACGGACCTTCATCATGTTTTTCACTCTGGGGAGTTTGGTGAAGAATATTTTTAATATCTTTGAATATAGCTACATAAACCAAAAACATATAGTTAATGGTGAGAAATAAAACAATATAGATTTGAGAGTGAATGTTGCATTGTTCAGAGCAGGTGTCAAATGAAAATGGAAAGATATTTAGAGCCCATATTTTCCAAACTGCATCCCCTGGGGCTCATGATGTAATTGCTTGATTGCCAAGGATGAGGATGGCAGATGAAGGAGAGCAGACTTTCCTTATTAGCCTCTACATTGAATTGAGCAACCCTATATTCCATTTTCTTTGGCCATCAGACTAAAGTCTTTCTTCCAAAGAGAAAGAAGGGCATTTGAGATTTGATTTGAAGAAAATTCTGTTCTTTCCAGACCAAATGAGTAAGTTCTCTCTGAACTAGCATTCTATTTCAGATATGTGAACATCTGTACTTGGTTCAGGAGTGTGTCATGGTCAAAGGAAACCTCCTTTTCTTTTAGTGACTTTAATTTCAATCCCTTAAAAACCACTAACAGAATTCTACCTTACTGATATTCCTCTGTCCATATTGTTACATCCCCTCATTTCATTCATTTTTCCTGAACCCCTTTCTGTCCCACATGCTTTTTTTTTTTTTCCTAAGGCCTCAAGTAGTACCAACTCAAAGAGTCTGAAAGGCAGTTAGATGTGACTACAGGACAAAATGGGCAGGAAGGTTGCCTTACTGCTTGTCTTTGCTTTCATCATTTTGAATGTTGGAAAGCATTTTATTCAATTTAAACCAAATCCAAAGGTTGAAGTAAGGAAGAAAACAATGGTCTGCCTTTTAAAAACAGTTCACAGTCACACCCCTCCTGGATAAGAGAAAGTTTTATGTACCTTCTTCTCCTTTATAATCAGAATTTTGGACTACCCTTGGAAATAAAGACACCTAAGATTTTATTTGCTGATTATTTTAGATCCTATTTGCAAATTATGTCCCTGAAATGGTGGAACTTTTTGCTAACAAGAGGAAATATACCAGTTCCTATGAAGTAGTCAAAGGGAAGAAGTAAGTATAGCTTCCAGGTACAATTTCTACAGTTTGAGAAATCCTACTAGTCACATATCCCTTTCTAAACACCTATCACCTGGCATAGGTGAATATATTGGCAAGTCCTTCATTCAGCTAAGAGGGTTGCACTAAAATAAATACCACAAGAAAATATTTGCTATTTGATAATCACTGCTATATAGATGCCTAGCCCTTAGTAAGTCAACTAAAATGACAGATAATGTTGTCATTCCTTATCAAGTATTGATTGTAGCAATACTTCTACATCTCTTACCACTAACTCTTCTCTTACATCTATTCCTAACTGTCCTATTCATTTTAATCATATGGTTAACTTATGGCTAACTTCACATAATAGATCAAATTAAAACCACAGTTCAAATTTAAAATAATGACTTCAATTCTGTTGTGTTGGCCCAAATCTCCCTACGCCATATGGGAGCTCATTCACAGACAGAGGTTTGCTAGGGGGAAGAGCAATTTCCACATCTTCTACAATACTTCATAGATCACCTGTTTTGTCCATGTCACAGATACCTGTTCCAGAAGGGAGACAGAGTTGGTGTTGTTTTTTTACCCTATTTCTCTGTGATGTGTTACTTCAGTTTCCATTATGGTTTTTACATCTAAGAAGGAGAGAATGGATTGGAGATCTTAAATTTGAAGCAATTATTTTTTATTTGGTCTCCATCTGCTATAGAGGAAACAGGTACAGTAAAGACAAACTGTCTTGGAGTGGTCTCAGCACAATTGGAAGAAGGATTGACCTAGGAGTCCAAAGGAGAAAGTAAAAATAATAATAATAATAATAATAATAATGAAACGAGTGAAAAACAAATATTGAAAACAATGAAATGAACTAGATAAGCCAAAGTCTGATCCAATTTATCACAGGAAAGGAATGCGGAACACATGCCAAAGTAGCCCAAAAGGTCTGGAAAATTTAAGGTTAAATTAAGCTGAAAGTACACTTTTGGTTTCCCTAAATGAGTAACAGAGGGAAAAATAGCTTCTTTAAATGCATGAAACTCAAGGAAATTGACAGCTATTTTTCACTGTAAAAGTTACGTGCATAGATTTTTGCACCTGTCGCAGATGTCTCTCCATTAGACTCACTTTTTTGTAGGGACTAGATAATTTTTGATGTGGAAGAAAAACCAAAATAACCTAGAATATATTGCCACTCTGCCATACTGTTTGAGAAAATCATGCTGAGCCTCTGCTTTTCCTTTGAACAAATACTAGATCAATCAGGAATCAGGTGAAAAAATCAAGTGAAATAACACATGCGCCAGTCCCTTATAATGTTATAATAACTATGAAAAACATAACACTTATGATAGTTATTATCGTATTCCTGAAAAGCTATGTGTAATTCAAATGTTTGGATTCATACCCAATATGGGATGAATTGGGACTACAGAAATTTGATGTTTCTTCTCTTTATTGGAGATGTGATCTTCAGTGTTTCTATTTTTAAAATCTGGGTAGTTCAAATACCAGATTGATTTAAAACTAAATTTAAGCAAATTGTCCATCTCTAAATCTTGACAGGAAGATACTTCTGTTCCTCAAATGATCCACCTCACATAGTCTTGTTCCCTAGGTTCATTGTGGTCTGTGGAAACATTACAGTTGACAGCGTGACTGCATTCCTGAGGAATTTTCTCCGCCATAAGTCAGGGGAAATCAACATCGAGATTGTTTTTCTGGGAGAGTAAGTGTATCTGTATGGTTCATGAGCTCTAAATTAATCCTTGAAATATGTATGCATTTTTTAAATGGAATAAAATAACCTTTGCAATATTCATAGAAAAATTAGGAAATAATAATAAGCAAAAAGAAAAGAAAAGGCAATCTTAAAAACCAGAGTTAATCTCAGAGAATATTTTGGAATATATCTTGCCTGATATTTTTATGTATATGTCCTAACATTGTTTAAAAGATTTCTTATCATTTAGAAAAGTATTCCGCATTTGTTATTATTACATATGACCAACTATTTTGTGAACTTAAAACAAAATGATTTTTAAGTAGGCTAAATTGTTTTCTCGTTTTATTGTACAATTTTGGCTCATAGTGAGATTGAACAATTTTTATTTGGTCTGATGGTTTCCTTTTTGCTTTTCCTTCCTACAATTTTGTTTCCTAGTGAGACTGAACAGTTTTTGTATGTTTTGACCATTTTCTTTTCCTTTTTTGTGGAATGAAGGAATTCGTCTTTTCATTTCTATCTTCTCTATGAGGATGGTCATCTGTTGCTTTACTGACTTCTAAGCAGTCTTAATATGTTTTGATATTAGCTTTTTCATGTCATGTGTTGTAAAGATTTTTCTCTCTTTGCCTTTGTGTGTGTATGTGTGTGCACATGTGCTTTATTTTAATACAAAGCATTGGATTTACGTGCACTATAATCCATTGGCTCTTTCATTATGGCATCTGGCTTTTATGGCATTTTTGGCCTCTCTGTTCTAGAATTAAGCAAATATCCCTCTGGCACTTTTATGTTTTCATGTTGAAATATTTTATATTTAAGCTCTCTGGAATTGATTTTGTGTAAAGTGTAGTGAACTACCTTCTTCATTTTGTCTAAAAGGCTCTTCAGTCATCCCCATGTCACTAAATAAGTCAGATATATTTGAAATGACATTTTGATCTTATACAGTATTGTATACAGGATCACTTCAACCTTCACACATTTTATAGTTAACACTCTGTACTTTTTAGATTAGGGCATGCCCTGTCCACTATAACTTTGGGCTCTCATATATGAGATAACCAATAAGCATTTTGAACACCTTCATGGTGCTATTGATGGACAGCCAACAGTTCTGTTTCTCTATCATTGCCTGCCTGTCTTCTCAGTAATTTGTATATTACTTGAATCCTTATTTTAAAAAATAGTAAAAAAAAGTGTTAAAATTGTGATAAGGGGCTAATAATTATAATCCATTTGAGATAAGGAAATCATTAAATACATTTAATTAAATACTGCTCTATTTTCATGGACTAATGTAGGTTATTATAGGTGCTTGTCAAGAGAATGAATGAAATTTTTTAAATGATATAAAATTCATCTAGAATTTTTCCAATTACATATAATTTCTGATGACTCTAAAATTTATATCCTCTGCCAGACATTTTCTGTGGTTCTGTATTCACAAACTAATTGCTTACTGGATATTTCCATCCCAGTGTTTCAAAGGTCCCTCAGATTTAACATTTTCAAAAGTAAACTCATGATCTTATGTCCCTCTCTCCAGCTAACAAGGCAAATTAAAAAAAAAAATACATGAAGGAAAGAAAACAGTATTTTCTATCTCAGTAAATGGAATGTTATCAGTATAGTTCCTTAAAACAGAAAATGAAGCATTGTGTTTGCTACTCCTCTCCCTCAAAGCCTGTGTACACTTTGATCAATATCATCAATTTTGTCTCCTTAATAAATACTAATTTTGTTTCTACCACTTCATCTCCACTATCACAACCCTATTCAAAGTTAATATTTTGTCTCTCCTTAGTTTCTAGAAAGGCCATTTTATTGATCTGTGCTTTTTTCTCAGCTCTTCTCCTACTGTTATATGATCAATTTATTCTTATTCTTCAGCACTCAGAGAGTCTCCCCCAACCCCCAATTCAAGCTATCTAAATTGGTGAGTTCTAATCCTTCTTTCTCACTGCTCCATTGTATTTCCTTTAAAGCAATGATCATGATCTGCAATTGTGGTAGATTTTTCTTTAACACAACTATTAACATTTCCTTCCCCTACTGTATATTCATATTGCTCCTCTCAATAAAAAATTGAGTCTCTTCCTCTTCCCTTTGCATCTGGGCTGGCCTATGACTGGATTTGATAAATTGAATGCCACAGAGGTGACACTTTGCTGGTTTCAGGCCTAGCCTTTAAGAGGATTGATAGTTTCAACTTTCACTGTCTTGGAGCCCTACATCATCATATAAAGAATCAGAGTAGCTTGCTGGGGAGAAGGTCCAGCCAGCTCTCAGCTGCTCCAGTCACATAAGTGAGACAACAGTCATGCGGGTAAAGTCATTTTGGACATTCCAGCTCTCAGTCAAGCTCCCTAATGAATGTACTCCAATTAATGGCCACAGTCGACATGGTATGGAACAGAAGAATTACCTTGCTGAGACCAGCCAACCCACAAAATCTTGAGAAATAATATATTGTTGTTGTTTTAGATCAGTAAGTTCCAGAATGGTTTGTTTTGTGGAAAGGGATAATTGATACAAAATGTGGTCCTGGAGGTGGGCTGCTATCATAACAAAAGCCAAAATGTGGCTTTCTCCTTGGAACGGGTGGTAGGCAGAGGCTAGACAGGTTGCATGGAGACTCTTACTAGATGCTGGAAAAACAGTGAGGAAAACCACCATTGGATACAGAAAGAACGGCACAATTTTGGTAACAATGTCACCCAAAATAACATGATAGATAGGAAATGTACCGAGTAAGATTGTGAAGGTGGTTGAGAAAATTTCCTGAAAGAATGTTAGGTGTCATTTGCTTTAAGTATAATCATGTATGATAAGATATTGTAAGAAAATGGAGGTAAAAAAGAAACTCTTTAGTTTTCAAGCAGAACTTAAAGGAAATATAGAAGGCTCAGAACAGTCTCTCCAGCTGGCCAAAAAATGTCAGAGGAAAATGACCTCAGGGGGGAAAAAATCAAATCCAGGGTGCTATAAAATATGACCTCAAGGTCAAAGGGTAAGATCTAATCAAGGATGCAGCTGTAAGATCCTTTGTTAAGACCTCAGAAAAAGTTAAGGTGGTGTCTTGTAGATGCTCCTCTTAGTCATGCAAAGGGCTTCTAAGAAGCTGAAGGACATTCTTCCCAGAATTCTAAATTTCTCGAAGTAGAGATCTGTCTCCAAAGGAATCCAAAGGATATGAGTTTGGGGGCGTGAACCTGAATAACATTTATAGAAAGTTATCAATGTCAACTGTCAGCTTGGAGTAAAAGGGAAAGAGAGACTTCACAATGGAAACAAATGCCTCTTGGCCCCCAACCCAGCATAGTCAGAAATTAGGCTGAGAAATCTACTCAGGGACAAACATGGGCCATTTATTCGGAAAACAGAAGATGACTCCTAGAGTCAGAGGGCAGAGATAAGAATTGAGAAAAACAATGGATTGGCTCATGAGAGCAGAACTGGACCCTAATCAAAAACATGCTCTGCCCTCTGAGTCAGGGGGCATGATAAAATGTGCTCAGATAGATTTCATAGTTTCAGTAGACCAGTGATTTCTACATGCTGTCCGTTACCACCCCAGCATCTTTTGACTGGGAGTGTCTGCTGCAGTTTTCCCATCCCTGCCTCATCATGGTATGCTGGGTGTTGAGCGGGAGATGACTTGTCTATCTAGGTCATAGTTCATCAGATGAGGAGGAGCTGTGCCTGAGGATCCCCATCCACATCTAGACTTGACGTAGATGACAAGATCCAGAACTTAAAGCTGATGCTTTAAAGAGATGAAACTTTGGGGAGAGAAAGTGAAAATATTTTGTACAGGGGAGAGATGTGAATTCTTGAGGTAAGATTGTTTTCGGAAGATAGCTGCCAGGATTCCTCCCAATTGTTGACACATATTCTACTCCTCCAACAAAAGTAGAGTCTGTTCTCCCTTCTGTTGAAACTGGACTGCCGTTTGACTCATTTTAACCAACAAAATGTACAAGAGTGACTGGGGCAGTTATGAGCCCAGCCCTTAAGAGGCCTGGCAGTTTCTTGGAGCCCTGAAGCACTATAGAAGAAGTTCACCTACTCTGATGGAGAGGAGGCCCATCCAGGTGCCAGCCCTCCAGCTAGCCCAGCTGAGGCAATAGACATATAGGTGATACTATCTTGGATGTTCTAGCCCACTAAAGCCCTCAGCTAAATGCAGACATAGGATTAACTCCAACAAAACCACATGAAGCAGAAAAGTCACCCAGCTGAGCCAAATCAAAACAAAGAATTTCAAGAAATAACAATTTGTTATCTCAAGCCACAAAGATCTTGAAAATTTTTAAGCAAAAATAGATAACTGATAGAGAAATTGTTTCTTTTCTTTCTTTGGTTACCTGTTAAGAAAAAATTTTCCAAGATATTATGATATAAATTGTCATAAAGGTAAAATATTAATTTATATTCCTGTATATTAGGATCCTTAGTGGCATAAACAAAAACTACTTATGACTAAATTAAGCAGAAAGAAATGTATAAATAGATATTATGTAGCTCTCAAAACTTTCAGAAGAGCCAGATAACTAGGCTTAGAGAATATACAACATAAAACAGTAATAATGTGATATTTATTTTATGTATATTTATATTCTAGGTACTTGATATTTTCTGATATTACTGGAAATACTGTCTTATTAGTTACTTTTTCTAGTGGTTTGCTTTTGGTATAAAACACAGAAGTGACTTTTGTATATTAATCTTCTATCTATCCATATTGCTAAATTTCTCCATTACTGAAACCTTTTTTTGTGGTGCTGTTAGGGGTTTCTATGTAAATAATAGTTTCAAATTAAGATAGTTATTTCCTCCTTTCCAATCCTCCTGTGTACAATTTATTTTATTTTCTTATTGTACTTGATGAGACATCAAATATAACATTAGCAAAAAAAGTGATTATATCTTTTCTTTCTCATTTCAAAGAAAACTTTTCTAATATTTTGTCATTAAGGACATCCTTTTTTATTTTAAAGATATTCCTTATTGGGTTAAGGATATTCTCTTCTATTCCTCAAATACCATGAACTGTGTTTCTTAACTGTGAAAAGATATTTTTTATAACCATTTTCTCTGCATCTGAGATGACTCTGTATATATTTTTTTACTTTTAATTTGTTGATGTGGTAAATTACATTAATAGCTTTGGAGTTATGGTTATTTTGACTTTGTAGTATTAGCTGGATACTTTTCCCTTCTAATATCTTCGAAAGACATTGTATAAAAAACGGGATAATTTGTTGCTTGAAAGTATAGTAGAAGATACTGTAAAATCATTTAGAACTGGTGGACTTTTTGTTTTGTGGAATTTTTGTTTGGTATCTGTGTGTGTTTTTTTTTGTTTTGTTTTGAGAGCTTTTAAATTATGGCTTAAATTTCTTTAATAGTCATAAGACTAAACGAGCTTTATGTTTCCTTTAGAGTGAGTTCTGAGAGGATATATTTTTAGTAATTTGTTTTGTCTGAATCTTAAAAGTTGTCGCATTTGGTTAGCTGTAGTATTCTTCCACTCTTATTTTTATCTCTACTTTCCCTGTAGGTATTTTATCTTCTTCATTCGGTATAATGAATTAAATTCCCTATATTTTTGTCTTCTCTCTCTCCCCATCGATTTTACTACAGCTTTACCTATTGTATTAGTTTCTTATTGTTTGTTTGTTTGTTTTTTTCAAAGATCCAACTTTTGGTTTTGTTGATCTTTGTTTCATAATTTCTTTTCTATTTCATTCTTTGCACTCCTATTTTTATTGTCTCTTTCCTTCTTATTTCTTGGTTTTATTCCAATATTAATGTCCAAAGATATAAATTTCTTCAAAAGCATTGCATTTGTTGTATCCAAAGGTTTAGATGTTTAGTGTTTGCAACATGATTTATTTCTAAGAATTTTATAACTTCCATTATAATTGCTTCTTAGCCCATGTGACTTTTAGCAGTCTATTTTTTTAAGAAATGAAGAATTTTTTTGTTACTAACTTCTAACTTAAAATGTATTGTGATCAGAGATCATAATACGTATGACAACTTTTTTTTGTAGTATGTTGAGGCTTTCTTTATTGTCAAGTAATTTATCAGTTTGATAAATATTTGTGTGTTCTCAAAAAAAATTAGGAGTATTCACAATAGCCAAGGTACAGAAACAACCTAATTTAAATATCTATTGATGTATGAACTTATAAAAATATATATATACACATACAATGCATACATGTATATACATACATATGTATACATATACATATATACACATACATATGTATATACATATATATACATACACACACACGCACACACACAGTGGAATATTATTCAGCCTTAAAAAAGGAAACCCTGTTATTTATGACAACATGGATGAATCTGGAGGGCATTATGCTAAGTGAAATAAGCCAGAAAAATACAAGAATACAAATACAAAAAAAAAAGTCAAGCTCATAGAAGCAGAAAGTAGAAAGGTGGTTGCCCGAAGCTGGGATGCAAAGGGAGGACATGGAAAGGGGTTGGTAAAAGGGTACAAATTTCCAGTTTTAAGATGAATAATTTCTGAGGATCTAATGTATAACATAGTAATTAAAACTAGTAACATTATATTATGTAATTAAAATTTGCTAAGTGAGTAGAACTTAAATGTTCTTACCCTGAAAAAAGGTAACCATGTAAAGTGATGGATGCGTAAATAAAGTTAATGGGAAGAAGCCTTTCACTATATATGTATATATATATATATATATATATATATACACACACATACCAAATTATCACATGATACCAAATCATAACATGATACATTTTATATGGCTCTCAATTTTATTTGTCAATTATACCTCAATAAAGGGAAAAAAGAAAAAAAAGGACTTAGAAACATCAAACTTGACAATTTTTTTTGTTTAATCAATCAATAATTGAGAGAGATATGTTGAAATCTCTCATTACAGTGACAATTCATCAATTTATCTCTAGTTTTGTTAATTTTTCTTTATATATTTAGAAGCTATTTCATTAAATTCATCATTGTTTTAAAATGCTATTGTTTAAAATATCTTTTTGAATGATTGAAATGTTTTTGTTTTAGCATCCTTAGTAATTCCTTTTTTTAAAATTTTTGGACATCAATGTGACTTGCATTTTTTCATATCATAGTGATTGACTAGGTCTGAGCTTCAGGCCCATGCCTGGAATAAGGCTAGTATGGATAAGTAAGGGAGGATGGATGTTTTCCTAATGGAAATTAGGAGTTCTTTTAAAGACACTAAATAAATATAACAATCTCTACACCATATTCAGGCATCTTTTTACATCTTTGGTACTACATTCTTTGCCCAGGGTCCCTCCTTCCTTGGAATTAGAAACCATATTTAAGTGCAACATGGCCTATACAACTTTTATTTCTGGATCTGCACTTAAGTGGGATGATCTGAGGCGTGTTGCGGTAAGAACTGGTTCTTTTTCTTCTTCTAGTTTCCCTAAGCTGCAACAATTAAGATCATAAGATGTATTGCTGTTTTAAAAGTATTACTCCAGATACTTAAATTGAAGGAAAATAAGACTTCCTCAATTTTAAAAACTGATCATAAAGGAAATGTAGTAATTGGTCTCTAAATCCTCCTTGACAGATATCAAGCAGAACTCACTGTTTACATACACTTACATTTATTTATTTCACTAGATTCTCTATCTAATGAAGTTTTATTTTATCAGTCTAAAAAATCTGAAAAAGTTATGGACAGCAAAAGTGTGTTTAATCTTACCATCCAAGTAGGATCATTAACAGATGACAGATTTCCCAACTTTTTCTAAACACACTAATATGCCTTCTGATAGAAGAAACATTAAGGAAAATAGCAGAAATCCCATTAAGGTGGGAATAAAAATAATGAGCAATACCTAACCATCTAGACAGCTTTCAATTAAGATCAAAGCCAGCTTCCCCCCATGTTTTAGGTTTTACAGAATCATATAAACCTAGGGCTTCAGTTTTTAGAATCAGAGATCTATAAAGTTAGCATAAAGAATTGAAATAAAAAATGACAGACTCAGAATAAGCTTTCTCTTTCCCACAAGTTGGTATTACAAGAGCCACTTCAATAATTTCCTAGACCCTTAAGATTCAGAATCCACAAATATTGAATGCTTACTTTGGCCCAAACGTACTTCCAGTTCCCCCATTCTTTGCGTCCTGAACACATAAATATACAGGCAGTTGCTTAAAAACTTGATTTTGGACAATAGGAAAAATATAAGTATGCACTTTCCCCATTTTAAAGCAGTCTTGCATCTTCATTAGAGACTGTTACAGCATCTACCGGACTCTGATCCTGATGTAAAGACATCCTCATCACAACTCCTTCCCAAGAGTGTTCTCTTTCTTATGGGAAATTTTACTATAAAGCCATAGGAAAAACCACAGGGGGCACAGTAGAGCATTCCCCATGAAATTAACAAGGTGGCTGCTGTTTAATCTTGAAGAATAGGTGGAATCTGCAGAAGCATGCCTGATTATAGCCAACCCTTTGTGCAGTGATTCCCATGCTGAAGACACTTCAAACATTATGAGGTAAGAACCTAAGAACCTGGTACTTTGTTTTATATGCTTCAATGCTGGTTTTATTTCTACCTCTTTTAAAATAAAGCCTAGTGCAGTGGACTAAAGAGGAGAAGATATCATCTGTCACAGCACTAGGTTCATCCTATTCAATGTTTCTGCCTTTTTTTTTTCTCCCAGAGGCTATGAAGATGTAGGAATAAGGAAGTAAAAAATAGAGTATTCTGAGTATCTCTGTGCTTCTCCACATACTTTCCTAAAGTTTCTTATGGATACTATTTAAATTGAAAAGGCAAGCATACAAATAACTGATACCTGTTCAGATAACACCATTATAAATAACATCTTTAACCCACAAAAAATAAAGATGCCATTTGTGATTGGTGAGCCCTGTTTGTAGACTTTACTTATTGGGGTTTTTCCTCCAGTAGTTCTGCTGAAATATGTGTATCATTTGGTATAATGTGCTTGTGATTATTGGAAAGTATCTTCAAGATGACTAGAGTTGGGTTAACTGCCTTTAACTATGAGCTGTCTATGAGCAGGAGCTTGACTTGTAGTAATGGCTTCAAACTATCATTGTGATGGCAATGGCATTGTGCCTAACCCAGATGAACTCCTGGTCCCCAGAGCATAGTAAACATACATAGCTGAAGGTGATTCTACAAATAGCAAGAAACAGTTGAGAATGTATGCTCTGCATAATACAGTGCATATGAGATAGACCTTAGTTTCTTAATATGTATAATGAGAAAGTTGAATAAGATAGTCTATGAGCTGCTTCATGTTATGGACAGAAATTCAATCTCTTGTTTGTTTGTTTTTTTTTTCCTGTAATTCCTGTGTTTGAGTTTGAAGGCTAAGATACATGAAACTGTCTATTTCCTCCTCAAGAACTGGTTCCAGAAGACCACAGTCTCCTAGTACCAAGAGCTAACCTTTTCCTAGATTTCATTTACTAAATCACTAAAACAATAGCACTGTTTACTGTGTATGTTATTAAACAGAACATTTTTAGAAAACAACATAACAGTGAATTTTATGTATTGTTTTATTATGCTTACCCACATATCAGTTTAATTCTGAAATTAATTATATTGCAAAGCCATTGAATATGGCACATCACTGATGAGCATATTTGTTATTTATGTAGGGTTCTCTCTATCAAGAACTATAACCCTAATACCAGAATCATCATACAGATACTTCAATCCCATAACAAGGTATGGTAACATTCTAGTCTATCTATTATCTTCTTCTTTTAGTCTATGGAGTTAAATGACTTATTTCATCTAAGTAGTAAAACTTATTAATTTCTATAATTAATAGACCTATAGATCTACACTCAAAAAGTTTTTCCAACTACAGGTGAAATTTGGAGTCTCATTAAGATTGTTAATCACTTAGGGGAACCTGGGTGGCTCAGTCGGTTGAGCGTCAAACTCTTGGTTTCCGCTCAGGTCATGATCTCAGGGTCCTAGGATTGAGCCCCACATCAGGCTCCATGCTCAGCAGGGAGTCTGCTTAAGGATTCTCTCCCTCCCCCCTTATCCCTCCCCCTGCTCATGTTTTCTCTCTCTTGAATAAATAAATAAATCTTTTAAAATATTATTAATCACTTAAAAATGTAAATTCATAAAGAAGTATAGTTTCATACTTTAACAGCTGCTGCCTGAGAGTCTAACTTCCAGTCCACCTGAATCTAGGTGCTGAGATCCTTTCCTTTGGGACATTGACAGCTCTGGACATACCCTCAACTACTGGGAGCCCCTAAAAGTGAATTAGGCTGATTAGACAATTACAAAGGTTTGAGAGACAACCAGAAGCTATGTCATGGTTGAACAATAAGGTTCAACTCCTAGAGAAGGCCATTTCTTCAAAACTGAGTGAGGTGGCTGTTTTATCTAATGCAGAATTTCAGGGGAAATGAAGAAAGAGAGGAATATATTCTAAATGAAAGAATAAGATAAGACCTCAGAAAAAGACCTTAATGAGACAGAGATGAATGACTTACCTAATAGAGAGGTCAAAACAGTCATAAAGATGCTCACTGAGCTAGGGCGAAGAATGGATGAAGAAAGTGAAAACTTCACAAAGAGATGGAATATATAAGAAAGTACCAAATAGAAGTCACAGAGCTGAGGAATTTAATAACTGAATCAAAAAATACAATAGAGGAGTTCAACAGCAGACTAGATGACGCAGAAGAATCAGCAAACTTGAAGACAGGGTAGTGGGACACACCTAATTAGAGTAGCAAAAAGAAAAAAGAATGAAATGAGTGGAGATAGCTTAAGAGACAATGTCAATTGCATTATAGGGGTCCCAGAAGGAGAAAACAAAGGGGCAGAAAACATATGTGAAGAAATAGTGACTGAATACTTCCCTAACCTGGGGAAGAAAACAGACATTCACATCCAGGAAGCAGAATTCCAAATAAGATAAAGTAAAGAGACCCACACTAAGACTCATAATCAAAGCATCAAAAGCTAAAGACAAAGAGAGAATCTTAAAGTCAGCAAGAGAAAAACAACTTGTAACGTATAAGGGAACCACCATGGGGTACCTGGGTGGCTCACTTGGTTAAGCATCTGCCTTGGCTCACATCCTAATCCTGGGGTCCTGGGGTGAGAGTCCTTAGGCTCTCTGCTCAGCAGGGAGCCTGCTTCTCCCTCTCCCTCTGCCTGCCGCTTCCCCAGCTTGTGCTCTCTCTCTCTATCAAACAAATAAATAAAATCTTAAAAAAGGGGGGGGGGAACCACCATAAGACTACTTAGCAGATTTTTTTAGCAAAAACTTCACAGACCAGAAGGAAATGACCCAATCTATTCAAAGTACTGAGAGAAATTTAAAAAAGACTGCCAACCCTGAGTAGTCTTATCTGGCATTGTTGTCCTGCAGAATTAAAGAAGCGAGTTTTCCATACAAGCTAAATCTAGAGGAGTTCATCATGACTAGGACTACTTTACAAGAAATGTTAGAGAAACTTCTTAAAACTGAAAGGAAAGGGCATCAATTACTAACAGGAAAAGATACGAAAGTGTACATCTCAATGGCAAAGGCAAATGCATCATAAAATTCAGAATAATCTAATGTTGTAAAGGTGGATTAATCACTCATGAAGCTAGTATGAAGGTTAAAAAAAAAAAGTAGTAAAAGTAACTATAACTGTGATTCTTAGGGCTACACAAGGCCAGAAGCTATAAATTGTGATATCAAAAATAAAATGTGGGAGGGGGGATAAAAATGTAGTTTTAGAATGTCATCATACTTAAGTATAGATTGTTATAAAAATGAGTTATATAAACCTCATAGTAACCATAAAGGAAAAACCTATAGTAGATACACAACAAGTGAAGAGGAAGGACTCTAAGATCTACAGAAACTCATCAAATCACAAAGGAAGAGAGCAAGAGAAGAAGAAAGGAACAGAGGATTTACAAAACAGCCAGAAAAAAATTAACAAATGACAATAGATACATACCTATCAGTAATTACTTTAAATATAGATAGACTAAATTCTCCATTTATATTTAAAGAAAAAGGGATATATATATAAAAAAATATAATATATAATAAATATATATGCTATAAATATAATGGAATTTTGTTCAGCCATGAAAAAGGAAATTCTGCATTTGCTACAGTATGGGTGGGCCTTGAGGGAATTATGCTAAGTGTAGTAAGTCAGAGAAAGACAAATACCATATGATTTCCCTCATACATGGTACTTTAAAAATTAAAAAAAAGGGGGGCACCTAGGTGGCTCAGTCGCTAAGCGTCTGAACCCAATTTTGCAACTCTTACTATTTTTGTTTTAAAAAATGGGAGCAGTAGACTACTCACAATTTTTTTAAAAGCTGAATTTGTTCTTATCACTTCCACTGACGTGGACACAATAAATGCTTTCAAGTAAATGCTTTCAAATAAATGCAAGAAAGACATCCATTCAGAAAAAAAAAAAAAAAAACTTTGAATTGTATTTCTTCTTAATGTCTGACCTACTTTCTACCATGAAACAGGTTTTTCTGCCAAAAATCCCCAGCTGGAACTGGAATACCGGAGACAACATCATCTGCTTTGCCGAGTTAAAACTTGGCTTCATCGCCCAAGGCTGTCTGGTGCCAGGCTTGTGCACCTTTCTAACGTCTCTATTTGTTGAACAAAACAAAAAGGTGACCTTGTAAATTGTTGTTGAATCTTGGCTTTTTCCCCATATCCTTACATGTTAGGATCAGACATAGAAAAAAAAAATTGAGGAAGGCAAGAAGGCCCCAAGAAATGAGATATGACTTCCACTTGAACTATGAGAGGATTGAGTGGTCTAGACGGAAGTCCCAGGTACTGCACTGACCTTGAAGAAGTTATTGATCTTATTCTTGTCTAAGAATATTTATCTGCAAAATAGAAATCATAGCTTTGCTCCCTACCTGTAGTCTACAATGTTATGATTATTCAATATTATTGAAAGCAGAAATATAAATAAAAATAAAGGTTATATTATTAGTGGTAAATCATATATTTAAATATAAATTAAATATAAATTAAATATATAATTAAATATATAATAATTGATAAATAATATATTCATTGAGCAAGTAACAATTCAAATCAATTTTTCAGGTTATTTTGGGGACATTCTATACAGTAATAACAATAGTCACCACATATTGAGTACCTACTATGTCACTTATTTTAAATACATTATGTTTCCCTTTGATAATATTTCAAGGTTGAATCACAGTAATGGGTCAGTGAAGCTAACCAACTTGATCATATAGTGAAGTTAATGAGTAGCAGAGGTAGAATTGTCTGACCTAATGTCTTACCACAATGCTTGATGCCTAACCTACTTTCTACCATGAAACAGGTTTCATGGGTATCTACTCACAATCTCCCACATCAGGTCCTCTGATACCTTTGAGACAAAATAAGTGGTTCAAAGGGACTGTTGGGATGACTGCAATAGCACAAAGTACAGCCTTCGAAATGCCACCCACATGAAATGGTCCAGGAAAGGTTCCAACCCTGAGCTGGACCCAGTATCACGTTGTCCAGAGGCTCTCCAGAGAATGACCTTTCCTCTCCATTTATTAGGAGTCTACATATGCCTTCTCTTATATTCAATTCCCTCTTGGCCTTCCTTTACACTTTATTTCCTTCATTAATAAATTTAAAAAACTTTTACATCTTTTTTGGTTTTGTCCCTGGTACTATCTAAAAAAAATAAAACCAAAAAAATGAGCCTTGATGCCACTATAATGAACCTGCCTTAGCTTTCTCTTCCTGCTCACTGTTTATGGCCTCAAAAAGTGCTTGTGAGGAAATTGTCTCTGCCTGTGCTGTGTACTTATAAAGTGCAAGATAACTGTTCTGCCAGATTGTTATACATGTATACATGTACAGTGACTTGCTTGGGCTCTCCATGGAGTCTCCAACCAAGACAATGGAATTTGTAAACTGTCGCCACTCTGGGGGTTTGAATCCATCACTTTTCACCAAGTCTCAAGGACATGTATGTTTGAGAGGGTGCTTCCAAAACGTTAATTGTGCATACAAATCCCCTGGGGGTCTGGTTAAAATGCAGATTCTGATTCCAAAAGTCTGAGTAAGGCTTCGTTTCTGAAAAAATCTCCTGGGGTGTCCAGGCTGCTGGTCTATGGACACTTTAAAGACTGGAAAACATTAACAGGAGTGAATGATAGTTGTATCATAGTATATACAGTCTATATAATAACAAGATAACATCCATCGTGATGACTCTGATTTTAATCTCCATGGCTGGAGAAAGTAAATGGAATGAGAGCTCTCTATGAAGACTTCATGTGTTTCATGGAAATAGAGGAGGAAGAGATTTGAAACTAACCCTATATTATGTTGTTCTTCTTTCTGTGTAATCTAAAGTTGTAGCCATCTCACTGAAGATGGTCATCTGTCAATATTCATCATAAGAAGGCTTTTGGGGGGGTGCTTGGGTGGCTCAGTCAGTTGAGCAGCTGCCTTCAGCCCAGGTCATGATCCCAGGGTCCTGGGATCGCGTCCTGCATCGGGCTCCTTGCTCAGCAGGAGCCTGCTTCTCCCTCTCCCTCTGCTTGCCACTCACTCGCTTGTTCTCTTCTCTCTCTCTGTCAGATAAGTAAATAAATAATCTTAAAATTAAAAAAGAGAAGACTTTGGGATATAGGAATTGTGAGAGATTTGTGGTTATGATATTTTTTTTTTTTTTTGGAAGTGAAGTCTAAAACCCACTTTCAGAAATCCTAAACTAGGCAGGGACAGGGTAAGATTTTTTTAATGCTATACTCATAGCTCTGGTGTTTTAGATTCTGTAATAAACAATTAACTTAGGATTAACAGCTAGGACTCCAGTGTCTTATGATTGATTTTTCTCGAATTAGACACTTACTTTCTCTGTCAGTTTCTGCATCAATAGAATGAGAGTTATTCATCTCATAACCTGATTTTTCTAAGTATTACGTTAATATCTGTAAAACTTCCAAGTACTCAGATTCAAGACCTTGGATCGATGATATGTGTTTCAAGAGCATTTCCAGTTGCTTTAGGCTTAAATTTAGATTAGATCTACACCAACTGACATACTTGAGCTCCCTTATTCTACTATCTAAATCCAAAATCCATCTTATCGTCCTATTTCCCTTTCTAATCTTAAAGAAATGAACACAGTAAGTCTTCTCCATTTCTATCATTTTTTTACCCTCTTTCAAAAACTGAAACATTTACATTAGAAGCAGTAAGCCCATTTTTTTAGTTATGGAGACTTGAATAGGGACTCCCAGTGAAGTGAGTGCTCCTCAATAGAGAAATTTAAGAAAGTGGGTGGGAGAAGATAGGAGATTCAGCTGAATCTTGGAAAGGGGACTGCAGGGCGAGTGCCTGGATTGCTTGATACAAGTAGTCCTTTTTTGTAAGGCAGGATATTTTTTTCTGTGTGTGTGTGTGTGTGTGTGTGTGTGTGTGTGTGTGTGTGTTGTGTTTTCTAAACCACAGGCTGGCCATCTGAGGAGTATTTCTGAACCGGCCTTAACCCTCCACAGCCAAAGTGTTTCAGAGCTTATAGAAATTCCAGACATTCACCTGGGATTCTGGGCTTTAAGAGGACACTGCCCTGCC